CCGTACAAGCGCCAATGATATTACGTTGAGCATTTGCTTCACGGCAAGGTTTCAGTTAGCGGGTGGGTTTGCGTATGCAACCAGCATAACTGTTTTACCTAGATGAGCCGTCGGGAGAACGATTATCTGGTACCAAGGCGCATTGTGCAGTAACCCACGCACGGGTAGCCAATAGAAGTAGAGTGGGCGGACACGAACACCTACGTGTGCTGGTCCGATGAAAGGTTAGAGTGCAGTCTAACAGTGAGCAAAGGAGAGGTTAATGGTCTGGACCGTACTGTCTGCGCCGAGGTCAACTGGGCAGTGCGGTTGAAAAGCGACCCAGGGTTCCTCCTCTCCAAACTATTTGCACGAGGGTAGCACGCTAATTTGGCCAGAGTGAACCATACATCGATACGAGTGATTGGCCGGTCCCTGTTCTGGCCAATACATATAAAAGCCTGCACCTGCTGTCTTTGAAAGCAGCGTCTTTTCCGTGCATAGGTATTGGTGAACCCCACATTACAATGCATCGACTCAATCGTAGATTGCACGTTAATCTACAAACCGAAATTTTGTCAAATTTACGTCAAGTGGCGGCGACACCAGCAGTATCCATCTGGCTAACGATTTCACTCCGAGTACTGAACAGACTCAGAGTTACCAAGCGGCCTTAAAAAGATGTCCAGGTTTGGAGATTGAGGAAGAGAATTCCAGGACACATGGGGCTCTCCTTACTTCACCCCGACGTGAAACTACTGATAACTAACAAAGACTAGAAATACCTAACAGGACAGCAACGTTTCGAACATAAGTTGGGATTGGGACGTACGTCGTACTGCAAAAGCTGTCTCCCGACATTCCCCGCGTCCCACATGCAAAAAATTCGAAGGTAGTTAGGGATGAGTGTAAACACAGTTGCCTGCGTATGTCACACGCCGTGGTAACTCAGGAATCGCCCGCCCCCAAACGAGCCACGTGGTAGATGCGCTGGACTAACACGGGAGCCCTGTCGGATTTTGGCAGGCGTTATCGGACTGCGCATCATAACAAATGCCAACACCTCGGGGTGCGGTTGAAGACACAGTTGTCGGCAGACGTCGCGCACATTGTTGTTGTTTGTCAAAATCCTGGTCATTTGCCGTGTGGACTAAGGGATGCGGAGTGGAGCACCGAGGTGCGGACTTGACTGTGCCATCAAGCTCCGCCCTCTCCCGCCTCCGGTCTTCTTGACTCTGTCCTGACAACGAATCCTGGTAGGTGGAAGGATAGAGTGCGGTAGATGTGGCGCAAGTCTACTACCACTCTAAACTAATTCACGCGGGAGTCACCGTCCCTGATCTCACCTTATTGTGGAACACACGGTGGACATCGTCGGTAAGGACGGTCAAACTGCTGGTCGATGCGCTTTCGTTCCCACTGTGTACACAGATGGTGGGCATGGCTGCAAAGTCATCATCATCATCGTACGTTTAACGCCCTGCTGGGGTGTTGATGGTGGTGGTGAAAACTCCTGATCAAGTGTTTGTTTTTCACCAGGGGGTGTGGCGGCACGCCTAGGTGCGGGTTTACGCCGTGCCAGCCACCGGCGCCCTCCCCCGCCTCCGATTTTCTTGCCTCTGTCTTGACACCAGGTCCTGGTGGGGAGTGGGGAGGAGAGAGTGCGATGGATGCTGCGCAAGTCTACCACCGCTATAAACTAATTCACGCATAATTTACCGTGCCTGCTGCACCTTGCTGAATGCACACGGTGGACATCGTCGGTAACGACGGTAAAACTGTCAGTAGCTCAGGAGCAAAGTCGGAGTCCGAGGGGCGTTTTCGGGAATGTGCACCCATCAAAAATGCCAGCATTGGGGTGTGGTGGCACACCCATGCCAATTTGGATTCGTGCCGCAGCCTTTCTCTGCGGCTGTGTAAAATCCTGATCATGAGAATGGCATTACCGACAAAGACAAGGGAGTCTGGAATGGCCATTTCTGGTCTATTAGCCATTGTCAGCCAGGCATACCCAACCCCGAGGTGTGGAACATCTGGGGCTCGAACTCGCGACCTATTAGTTAGAAGTCCATACCTCTAACCACTGGGCCACGTGCCCGTTACCCTGTCGGTTTCAATCGGGAATAAACGGTGGTAGGGGACGCCCACCTATGGTTCTTACGCCCCGGGTGTCCCACACCTCGGGATTGGGCATGACTGGTTGACAACGGCTAATAAGCCAGAAATGGCCATTCCACTCTCCTTTGTATTTGTCCGTAATGCAATTCTGCCTATATCATGCGCCGCTGTGCGGCTGCTGGTTGGGCTCGAAAGAGAGCCCATAAGGCACAACAGAACGAGTGAGTTCCGTAAGAACGATCGGCGAATGCCCCTACCATCCTGATCTGCGTGGTTTGTGAACCAGGAGCTGTGGTGGTACGCCTGTGTACGGGTTTCCGCAGTGTTGGCCACATGCGTCCCACCCGTCTCGGGTCTTCTTCATTCCGTCATGACACCGGGCCCAGGTGGAGAGTGAGAGAGTTTGGTAGATTCTAAGCAAGTCTCCGGTCACTGTAAACTGATCCGCGCGCAAGTCACCGTCCCCGATCTCATATTGCTGTGGAATACGCAATTGAAAACGTCAATAACGACGGTCGAACCGTCGGTAGCCTAGTGGCGATGCTGCTGTAGTGGTGAACTAAGACGAAAGTCACGCTAACTCACGTCAAGCGCTTCCCGAGCCGTGCAAAGTGCGCGCGCGTACTATGCCTCCGATATAGGTCGACACCATATCAGCACTGGGTCCAATCTCCGCATTAATCAATCTAAAGGCTTGGGAAGTTCAACGGTGCGTGGGAGATGTGAGGATCGACCCCGAGTAATCCACCTTCGTGGCAAAGTAGCAGATCCCCCACCGAGACCTGTGTGACAACTTCTTACTCCTAAATAAGCACAAATGCACAACGATCACTCTGCAATGTGGTTGCATTTTTGGCTTCCGTAGGATAGGACTCCGTTTGTATTACGCAGTAACCGACTTCACGTTAAATCAGTCATCGCGCCCTCAACCTAATTTCCGGTCTTTTTGACTGAAACAGGCAACTGGCACATGGAAGAGGATGGAGAAACACGTCCACATGGATTTAAGCCAAGGACTAACTCTTCAGTGTAAACAGCCAAACACAATTTTAGTCTAACTCGATGAACTGACGGTTGGAACCAGGAAGGTTGCTAACTGACGAAATAGCACGGACTTGATGAGGGCTGGGGGTCAAGCTGTGACGGCAGTCTCATTTGCGTGAGAACTGAGGCCTCACCAATGAAGCCTAACGCGTGTGGGACTGTCGGCCAGGTCGCCTTAGTCACACGCAAACAGGCTTTTTAGTTTTGTCAACACCCCAGCCCATGTCCACTTCCGATCATCTTCGTTTTGCAATCAGTCGCGATAGGCTTTGGAAGTGTTGCGCATGCTTGCGTCACTGAAAACTCTCAAGTCAGAGTTACGCCTACCCTGTGAACCGGCGATGGACACCAGAGCTCATGACGGCTGAAATACTGGCAGATCACACGACACGTGCTGGACTGCATGCGCTTAGACACCACACCGGCGAGATCTGCTAAGAGGCCAAAACAAGGGGGCGTCATAAATTGACCCACTTCCGACAACCGTATTTTCCAGTCAGCGTGTTGACTTCCGAAGTAAAAATCCTAGGGAGCCCCGGTAGCTCGAAGTGTCTCGGCTTTACAATTGCGAAGGATGGGTGGGCGAAACCAGCCCCACTTTCTCCTGTATTGCTTGCTCGACACAAATGGGGGTCATGAATTACACCCAATCCCGCATCGCGTGATACCTACGTGTCTGAACTCTTTCGCTTCCGACGCGGCAGGTAACGGGGATACGGAGTAAAGCAAAGACTCGTTGGAAAACACGCCTCTTGACTATACATAAGAAAGGACAAACGACGGTTGACTTTGCGCTCTTGGAGGGTATGCATGGCCGGACGCTGCTTTTCGAAACCAGGTGGACTCGCCCTAAGTGGTCCAGCGTTCATGTTCAAATGAGGAGGCAGAGCGGTTATGAACGGGGCTTGTCAACCAAGGGTTGGTAGAATGCTCCGAGGACAGCTACTCGAACTTGCGTCGGTCACTCTGTTGACTTCCGAGAAGGAAATTTAGGATGTGATGTTGCTGTGTGATGGCCAGCGCTTCACAGCCTGTAAGAGGATGGCGTGCAAGTCACCCACCTGGCGATTTAAGAAAGCAAAAAGCCTGCAGAGAGGACTCGGGTCGATTGGTGCACACTATGTAAAGCGGTTTTGTCCGGTCAAACGGCTGGCCTGGAGCTTAGCATTGGTCGACTGGTAAATGCAATCAGCTCGGTCGGAAAGGAGGAGCCATTGACCGAGGTCTTGCCCAACGCCTGAATTCGTCTTGCCTTCCTGCTTACGGTGGCCTCCGGCGTACTTCAAATAGTGCCCAATCCTCTCCTCCTTTTCTCGCGTGCGTTTCCTAGGTCGGCTGGGAGTCTTGACTTTTATTCGGTTCGGTAGGGCAATTTTGTCAGCCAACCAGAGCTCCCATCAGAATCTTGATTCTATGCCAGTAGAAGACGTAAAAAGCGAGGCAGGTCCGAGAGGTTACTCGCCTGCCCTTAACCGAAATCCCAACACAGGAATACTATCAAAAGGCTGTTGTCACCAATACGCATCCTCCACGAAAATAGATCACCGGACACTGATGTGGATTGTTGACCCACACCCACAATCGCAACCAGCCTCACAGAATAGTGTGAAGGGAAATTCCTCTCATGCAGACAAGCTCGGGCATCAGAAGAAGACTCCTATCAAAAGAATTCAATGATAATAAAGAAAAGTCAGGTAGAAATACATAAATGCACTCTTCATCTTAAAAAGCACCGTCTCCTGAAGTAGAATGATGTCAGACGGAGTGCCCTCGAAGGCGATTCCAGTGAGAGGAGGATTACTCGCGTCGTTCATCCACACGGAGTGGTCCCCCTTTTTATCCCCGAGCTCCGGAGACCCTCAATTTCCGTCTTTTTTCCACCAATCGATAAGTTCACGCAGTCTGTTGGCCCCTTCCTCCAGGTCAGCCGGTTCGCTAAATGAGCCCTTTTTTAAACAAGCAAGAGATAATACCTCGTCGAGGCAACATCCCATAGTTGATCAACTAAATTCATAACATTCGAACGCTTGACTGATTCCGACATATTGTTATGAGGACTTGCGGAGGGCGGCCAACTCACTGGACCCAGCGCAGTTAAGTCGTCGCGTCTATTCAAAAAGGCCGCATCGTTGGGGAAATAGTCTCCAGTGTAAAAAGTTTCAGTTCTAACAGGCCGCGAAATATCGTCATCGCGGAAGACAGCACTTAGTCGCGGGAAGGAGTTGCCTGAAATTTGTGGGTGATACCGACCAACCTACCGTTTTCTATTCCGCTTGCAATATTTGACGGTTGACAGTACGAATCTGCAGGAAGTGGTGAGAACTGCTCACAACTTCGTTTTTTTGGAATGACAGGTGTCGCTTGAGGAGTCAGAAGATGATTATGTGTCAGATTGAAAGTCACGAGACGAAGACCATTGCCCTCGTACAGAAAATTTATCCTAGAAGGGCAGTTCATCATCTTAGACCTGTAAATTTGTGAAAGGCGCAGATTTGCAGTTACTTTCGGCAGATGCCTTGAGTGGCACGACTTCTGAATGTACCAGCATGTTTGCACTCGTAAAGGAGGCGCTTGTACACACATCGACGACTGCCCTCGTCTTCGGGTGGGAGTTTTGTAGTGTGGCGACGTATATAGCTCGCTCCGGTTTTCTGAAAAATGTAATATGTTGCGCAAAAAAGCCAACCGTCGAAAGTAAGCCCATACTCTTCTGAAGTTCATCGTAGGAATGGAATTCGCGACCCTCGAAGAGGTTACGGAAGACAGCTAAGAACTCCGGGTCAGGCTCACGACTTTTGACGCCATCTAAGGAATAAGAAGTTAGGGTAGGTGGATTACCCCCAACGAACGACACCGTTGGGAGGAGCCTTTCTTTGGATGGATTTGTGTGGTTGTGAATGGCATAGCAGTCCACAACTTGAAGTTCACCGTCTATCGCCTTAACTATTATGAAAGAAGGGCATGGACCACTGCAAATATCTTTCAAGCAAGTGCACGTACTTTGGGCTTGGGCCACAGCAGGTATATTTTATTTCCTTGTACATTAATTTATCATATTCCCTCGTGCTGCGACTAAAATACTCCATCCTGTCTATTTTGTATTTCCCACCGCATGACTATAGGTAAGTTTTACGGAATTCGGCACGTACATATTGTAAACTATGTATATATAACTTCAATTCATACACATTCTTGAAGGTCTGGTATTGGAAAGGACCCTCACATCCACCATCCACCAGCTCCGCCATGAAATGTGACCAAATAAGTTCTGGCAAACTTAGAGGTCGTTATGCGCGGGACAAGAAGAATGAGATAAAAGTTTGAAAAAGTGCTATTTGGGTAAAGACGCATGAAAACGAGCAGTAAATGACGGCATTACTTTTTATGCTGCTACCTATCTCGTTATATTTTTTTAATTAGCGAAAACGTGAGGTAAGTGTATGCTCACATTGTATGAGTTGTGGGACACTAAAGTTGCGTACTTCTCCAGCTTTATCGGGCATCATTCCTGTCTCAAAAGTCGAGTACTCAGTATCCTCTCACACCTTTAAAATGAACGAACTGGCAAATCGTGTTTGGTTACAAGGGCAAAAAGGAAGGGCTATAATAAAACTAGAGAACTAGAGCGAACGGTCGCCTTCTTGTTGGAGTAAATCGTATCTTCCGGTAGGTGGCGAAAAAGGTTGGTATCAATGGTGATCCCATCATCTGGAGAATAGGCACTCGAAGAAGCCAAGCCTGGACTGGCCATGCAATGTTGGTGTCCAGAACGGTTCACTTTTTACATTCCGTCAAATAGTCGGCTGAACATCCCGAGATGTTGGCACATTTGGATCAGCTGACACACTGTCCACTGTACCTTTGGAACAGGACCTTCTAAATGCTAGATCAATAATTTCTACACTGCTTATTGAGCTGCTTAGATTTGCACCAAAAAGTGTTAGCTAAAACGTCCTCCAGGGCTTACATTCTTTGAATTCTCCGACAAATTCAACCATATGCAGTCTTTCCCATTTGGCTCTAGGCGCAGTTTTTTCTTTTATTCCCGTGACTTGTTTCTTTTCCATAACTGCACGGCATGACTGAAGTACGCACTGACGTCCAAAATGGTGGGCCGGAGGGTGGGATCGATCCGGCAATTACCCTTTTCTCGGTCGACTGCGCTAACCGCCAGCCCGGCGGCGAGCGATATCACACAGTCTCCCTGACTGTATAGACGCAGAAAATGCAGGCCAAATTTGTGGTGAATGCCAGATTCTGGCCGTCAAGGTTAACTATAATGAGGAAGAAATTACAAAGATGAAGGCCCAGTTGCGATGCAGACTCGACCAAGCTAACGCTACCAATATGCCTACTGGACCAGAAGTAGGGCAAAAGCCCCCAGCATAATAGCCACGCCAGCACCTATTGCGACAGCCCCAGAACGAATGGTTAATGAAACAGGATTCAACTCTTCGTCACTTCAAGCCTTCGCGGACACCACAATCATGGAGGCCGTTCAGTTAACTGAGAGAACGGTTCTGACAGAGTTGATGAGGCTAAAGGAATCAAAGTCACCAGGTCCCGATGAGATTCCGTCGAAGATTTTGAAGGAAATCACCAGTGAGTCAGCTAAACCACTCTCCGTGCTCTTCCATGCATCCTTCGGGACCGGATATCTGCCACCCGGCTGGAAGTTGGCGTGGATTACGGCACTGTACAAGGGTGGAAGTTGGGTCTCTGCCAACAAGTACAGACCTGTCAGCCTCATTTCCATTTGCTAAAAGATTATGGAGACAATAATAAAGCAACAATTAATGCAGCTCCTTGGATAAAACCATCTGCTTTCCGATTCCCAGCATAAATTCCGAAAAGGCAGATCCTGTGTGACAAACTTGCTCTGCCGTCTGGAACATTATACTCGGACTGTTGATATAAGAGATATGGTGCATACCATCTATTTCGACTTTAAAAAGGCTTTCGACAGTGTGCTTCACCACCGCCTTCTTTACCAACTCAGCCGTACAGGAGTGCGAGGAATGCTTTTGATGTGGATTCAAAGCTTTTTACTCGGCCGCTCTCAAGTCGTCCACGTCAGTGGCCAGCAATCCGCCGAGGTTGCCGTTTGGAGGGGTGTTCCCATAGGCTTTTTTCTTGGCCCTACACTGTTCCTCGTATACTTCAGCGACTGGGCAAACGAATTGGATTGCGATATCGCAATGTTTGCTGATTACATACAGATCTGGAGTACCATACGATGCGAAGCTGAGGAGGCGCGACTGCAGACAAATCGTGACCATCTCGAGCAATGGTCAAAAGACTGGCTTCCACCGTTCCTAAGCGTCGGCGGAACCAGTAATCCTAACCGCACGGTCTACCATCTGAATGTCAAACCACTGCAAGAAGTCGACACCCAAAAGAACTTGGATATATGGATCACAACCTCCCTTAAGCCTTTGCTTGATGCTCATAGGCAGCCAAGTCGGCTATGTCCATTCTGTACCTCGTCAAACGGGCGTTCTCCTTCTTTGATGACGTCTGATTCTCTAGGGTCTTTCGAACTTTTGTGCGGCCGCATCTGGAGTTTACTATCCAAGCGCGGAGATCCTGGACCGCTAAAGACCTCGGCATACTCGAAAGAGTTCGACGACGAACAATGAAACTTGTATCTGGGCAGTGGTCACTATCCAACGAAAGACGACTAGCTAATCTTGACCTCTTTCGTTTGAGTTACAGACAGCTGCGTGTGAACCTGATACAAGCTTTCCGCATCGTGCGCAATCAGGGCTGCTGCCTCGCATTTGGAGACTTCTTCTAGTCAGCGACTACGACTTACCTGAGAGGCCATCCACTCAAACTACGTGTGACTGGTGCCCGGCTAGGCATACGAAATTTCTCCTTCTCCAACAGAGTGGTTGCAGCTTGGAATTACTTGCCTGAGGTTGTTGTTATGTTGGGATCCGTTGGCACTTTTAAACAGAGGCTAGATCAACATTGGATCGCGCACCACAATAACGCCAGGCTACCGCCTCCTTCATAGTCAACACTGACAATTTAGTGTTATGACGATGCTACTGACAATGTGCAAGTAACATATGCTTATGTAATTTATTAATTCTGAACCACGTCGCACACCGCTGCTAACATTCACCACGGTGCCTGCAGACTAAAAAAGTACTTCTTTACTGTATCTTAGGTGTGCTTCAACTGTCTGATGCATTTACTGAACAAACTGAGTTCATTTGCCTTTAAATGACGTTAACGCATGAAATTCTGTGTTCATCTGTACAGATTTTGCTATTTCCCTTATATTTCTCTCATTTTACCTCCTTTTCATTTTCATGTCTCCAATAGAGATTTCACAGGTACATGCCTAATTGCCCTGAAATACACTGATACTGATAGATCCATCGGAATTTACCTCGAATTCAAACCCTTGGTCGTGGCACTTTCTTCACTAGCTACGTGTTTTTTCGTCAGATGCGCTTAAATGTCTTACGGGACGTTAGGAGTAACTGGGATGTTTTGATGGTAACAACACAATACAATAGAACTGTTGTCGTTTTTTGAAGAGGCCCTAATGGCAAATCTCCGTGGTCACCGATACAAAATAAAGATAAATTACGCTAAGCACGAAGCCTGGGCCAACTTTCACTCTCACAGAGTTATTGAAAAGTGAAACTAACTAACTAAATCGTTTGTTCTGGCGGAAGGTGTCAGAAATTCAAACGATGACTTGATAACTTTATTAATTTATGGCCCTATATTTATTTACCTGGGGATTATAATATTCCCTATAGCTACGTAAAAGTGTGTCCGTTTTTCAACGTTTGTCTGCAAGTAGGGTTTTCAAAGGCTCTGCCTATCTCTCTCATATATACTAAATTACACTGAATAGAGCTTAAGGTGGGCTAACTCCTGTGAAATTATTATCTACGGCAGCAACTTTATGAGCGGCAACGCTAGGGTCGTCTTGCACACAAATCCGGCTTATTAGGTCAGATGTCTCGCTGCTTTCATCCCACTGTCACTCGTACATGCGCCTCTACGAACTGGATCATTTCTCTAGCTTCGTGATGCTCTTTCTAAGATATTCTTTCGAACTGTTCGTGTTCTACACGTTGCTCATTTGATTACTATGCTCATCTCTTTTGAACCATCATTAAGCACCTTTACATTCACGAAACCACTTTTCGTTTTTCGCCTTCGTGTTGAATGTAGGTACATCCGACGCAACGTTCATCCGCATATCCCGTGGCTTTTGTTGAAATTATGCCTTAGGTTAATTTTATGGCCTTCAACCGCACGCATGAAGATGGCGACACACTTCCCATTGTGTATATCGTCTCGGCAGCTTTTGCATCAAATGAATTGTCATTCCGGTCGTACTACCAGCGTGAAGCTTCCGAGAGTTCGCAAATTTTTGTAAAGGGCGTGGATATGTATTCACCTATAAACTTACGAATATACAAGATCGTTTATGATGAAGTATGGCGTATCACCGACAGTAACTCACATCCGATCCACGCCTGATGATATATTTACACTTTGCAGAATCACGGGTATGAATGGGAAGTTCACAGGTCCCTAATTAAAGTGACTATCGGTGACGCATCAATATATAGAACTTGTTGGGGACGGCCATCATGGGCTGTCTAGCGTCATTGCTCAAGGCCTCTCTGCCTCAAGGCCCTGCACCCCTTGCAGTGAGCCGTTCCAGTCGCGCTGACCTGAAACCACTCGACCGACTTCAGCTCGCACATACCGGCGTCCACAAAGTTCCAGCTGCCCATTCGGCTACCTGGACTCACCCACCCCACTTCTATCAACGGCGTTGGCCACTGGGAGACCATCGTTAGTCAAACGCAGCACACACCGATTGGAGACCCTTTGAGCTTGGCCCTTGAGCCTATAAAAGTGGGCGTCACCACAGTCCCAAAGATTCTCACGCATGACTAGACGCAGTCAACACTAGCCCTGGCTTCGAGTCGGCGCGTCTGGAACGACTCACCGCAATGAGTGGATGGTCTTAAGGCGGCAATTCCTTGAATAATGACGCCAGACTTGCCGTGATGGCTGCCCCGACATTGGTTACCTCGGTGTGAGTCGAACATGCAGCCTTCTGAGCTGGAGTCGGAAGCGCTGCCGGTGTGCCACGGAGTTGCAGGCGCCCATGCAGCTCCTACCACAGGTAACCAGCATTATAGGCAATTGGTACACCACCCCTCGACAAATGCAGCACATACCGATTGCAGACCACTTGAGCTTG